TCCTATATTTGAGTTTACTTTAGATAGTAAAGTAATGTCATGAAAATAAAATATGGTTAACTTTTAATTCTTTTACGTATAGTGATGATCAATCGATCAGCGGGTCGCCAATTGGCTTTACTGTACTTATTTTCCATTTATCTATGGCTAAGCTATGAAATTAGGGATTGATTTATGGTGTTTTTAGTTTGTTACTCAAATTCCAATTTCGAATTTGCATTTTATTCATGTTCGCCAATTCATGTTTCGAATTTATGGTTCTTTTTTGACTTTCCGGGTTCTTCTATAAAACTCATCTGGGTTTCATTTTTATTGTTACACTTATATTTTCATGAATTCGTGTTTATTACTTCAATTATCCGAACTTTAATTTTCCAATATGGAGAGTAGTACGTTATATTCTTCCTTCCTAACTGTTTATTCATTTTTATCCGATTAAGAATGGTACCGCAGCAGAGAGAAATAGATAATTCACCAAAAAATTTGGTAATTAATGTTATACTCCGTAAACTTGCAAAATTAGGAAATTGACGACCTCTGAATGGCTAACACGCTTCTAATTACAAATATGGTCGTCTTCTTTCATTTTTGAAAACTTCATTCCATTGATGTGTTTTTCCATTTCTTTTGCTTGAGCTCAGGTAATAAATTAAAAGTATAAAATAAAATTATTTTAAACAAGCGTGAACAAGTTTCGGATATAACTTTTAAAATTGGAACTTTCTTTTGTTTTCTCTTCACTTTTCTTACGCATCTTTCCGTTTTCAACTATACTTTGGACTTTTAGTTGCAACATTGGACTTTTTGCACTATTCACATGTTCTACTTTGACTACATTTTATTAATTGATGTATAATAAATTAAATATTTAAAAAATATTGTTACATTCTTCTCATTCTAAATTTTCAAAATATGATTTTTTTTAATTTTTTTACTAATAAGAAATAAAAGATATTAATGGTCAAACTTGTGCATTGGCAAACGTGAAATGTTGACTGTTGCAATTAAAAAAGAACGGAGGAAGTATGTATTACTTTCCATGTGTTTTGTGAGTTCAAAACTGATTTTGGCCTTTTAATATGAAGATTTTACTTGCAAAGTAAAGTAAGGTACCTTAATCATGTCAGAAGAAGAATAAATAGCGTATTAGGGCATCCCATTCATGAGTTTATTTGAAGATCAATTGGATGATATGTAAGATTATTTTAAAGATTATTATTTTGAGTGAGAGAATATTTAGTGAGATTATTGAAAAAGAAAATCTGGTATCAAGATTCAAATCCTGGATTATTTTAGATTGTAGTTAAATTACATTTAATGCATGTCCAGAAAAAACTGATAATTTGAGTATATTATTGTAGATGAAGAGTTTTAAGCATTGAGATTATTTAGAATTTATTGAATAAATGTGATGTGTCAATGATATGTAATAAAAAAATCGTTTATTTAGAAAGCATGAATGGAGATGCTCTTAGGAGATAATAAATACGCTATTGAGTAAGATTTTACTTAGCTATTGAGTATTTGAATATTCAAGTTTGTGTTAAAGAGACTACTTAATCATGTAGTCTCTCAACAATCAAGATTTTGCACCACACAAGAACGAGACTGAAAAGATCTTAAAAAGAAAAGGCGGTAGATGTTTGGTAAAAAGCTGACTGTTTGATTTAGTTCGGTTTGGAATACAAGCTGTTAGGACTAATTAATACTCCGTACTAAAAGTCACGGGCTTTTCTTAGATGCTACTCTCGATAGCATCTCAAAAAAGATCTTTTAATTTTTGAAAATCTCTTAAATATTGTTATGTCAAACATACAACTAGAAGCTTATAGAGACTTTTTGAACAGTACAAAAGCTAGAAGACGGATTCTTATACCTATGAAACATAGCCTTAGACTCAATTTCTCACGAACTGGAACAAAAATTTGGTACGAAAGTTTTCCTGACAACAAAAAGATTGATAGAGATTTTGAACAAATTCACCATGAGGATTAATCCTTACATAATCATTTTATCTCAAAAAATTGGCACGAATCTTTTACGATTGAACAAGGGTGTACTGTATTGGGGCCGAATGGCCCTACCCTAATTTTTCATGCCAAGTCATTTCATAATCAATAAAAATAAAATAACAACATGTGAAACCAAAGTGAAAGTTTTTAAGCAAGTTCCTATAATAATTGTCTTTTTCTCTTTTTTGCCTAAGATATATCTAATGAAGTGGTTTTTTTTGTCAATGTTGTAGCATTTGATCATCTTAGATTGAGGATTGGGGGTTCTTTGCAAGACCAAGTGTTGTACAAGGTTGGGTATGGAGTGAACAACTGCCAAGACTTCAACAGAACGGACGATGACATGTTTGGCTTCACCGGTGGTTGCCTTCGCATGGAGAAATGGGATGAGTTACATGAGTTGTTCAACAAAACCGGGTGAGTAATTAATAATAATGTGTTTTAAACTATTTCACATATATATAAACATAAACACATAGATACATACATATATATGTATATAATGTTCAATCATGCTTCATGTACACGTTTTATGTACACGTCATTTTACACGCTGACTGAATTGTATATGCACAAAAAAAGAATTCCATTTTATGAAGGGAATTGTTTTACGCTCTCACGAAGTTTTTTATCCGTGCCAAGACAAAAGAAGTTGTCCGTGTACACAAAACGTGTTTTTAAAGCATTTTCTTATAGTGTTGAAGTTGATTAATTACAAATGTGTTATGTGTGCAGTGCTATTATGACTTTCGGCTTGAACGCTTTATTGGGAAGGCAGAAGTCTAAAAATGGTACTACCCTTTGGGTGGGTGATTGGAACTCCCAAAATGCTAGGGATCTTATGGAATACACTGTGTCCCAGGGGTATAGAGTTGATTCTTATGAACTTGGTAAGATGAATTGAGCTCTTGTTTAATTCTTGTACACTCAATAAGACAAAACGATGAGACAAATAATCAAATCACAATAGCAACTTGGCTTTGATACTACAATATCACCTCTAGAACATTGTGAATTGATTTAGCCGATGGGCGTAGCTAGCCGGTAGATAGGGGGTGCCACAACGATAAGTCCCAGGTTTCATAATAAGTGTCATGAAATGTGATTATGTAAGATTTCATAGGGTCTCTGTAAGTACTTGGGGCAGAACCTCACTCCGCTATATGTCAGCCTGCGATTAAATTCTAACTTACATCATTCCAATTAACTATCCGTTAGAAATGTGGTGTCATCCTTTTGTAAATTGATTTCATATTTTACATTACCAAAAGGACCTTCTACACATATAAACACATAATTACATATTTATTCTCCTTAATAGTGGGATAAGCCTTTACAAAATACGACTCTGTACATTTCTTGTTGAGACATACTTCATTGCGATATTTATTGCAGGGAATGAATTGTGTGGCACCGGAGTGGCCGCAAGAGTTGAGGCAGATCAATATGCAAAAGATATGATGACTCTAAAGAAGCTTGTAGAAGAGATTCACCCGGATCCAACAACCAGACCAAAGGTTTTGGGTCCGGGTGGATTTTATGAGGAGAAGTGGTTTAACACCTTCCTTCAAACTGCAGGTCCTAATGTTATTGAAGCTTTGACACACCACGTCTACAACCTTGGCTCAGGTTAGTAATCAAATTTATACAGAATTAGTGTTTAAGTATTGCTAAAGAGTCATAAAATGCATATTTTATCACATAAGCTAAACTGCATTTATTTTACATATTAATTGTGTACATGTTATTTAAATCTCTCTCTGTTTTTAGTAGTTTTAACTTGCTAAAAGTGAGATGCATTTCCTCACAAATCTCACATTTGAATAGTGGGTTTTAATAGACCTTGTGTTTTTGGTCATAATGAAACTAAATTGGTTTTCATGAGTCACTTTCTGGAGCATTTAACTCTTGTGGTTGAACTAAAGGAGTAGAACTCATATTGCTGTTTTGCAGGAGATGACAAAAATCTTATCAATAAGATCCAAGACCCATACTATCTTGATCAGGTTGCACAGACATACAAGGATGTCTCCACCAGCGTCCAACGTTTCGGCCCATGGACCGAAGCTTGGGTAGGAGAATCGGGTGGTGCTTACAACAGTGGTGGTAAAGATGTTTCTCATTACTTTGCTGATGGCTTCTGGTAACATATCTTTCACAATTTCCCTTGTAGATTTTTTTTGGATTCAGAAAGTAAACGTTAAAGAATGGAAAATTTGACATTGTACCGAATATTTTCATCCAGCCTCATTGAAAGTTGTAAGAGAAAAGATACTTCTTAGATTTCACATGTAACATATATAGACTGATAGACATTTCACCATACATTTTGAGATGATAAAAGTTAACTTTTCTCCAAAAATAGACAATTGTATTTAAATTTACATATTCAGAAAATGCATTTAAAGTAATTATTGAGAATATAAAAAAAATTATTCAGGTATGAAATCAAATACTCCCTCCGGTTTTTAATAAACTTCACACTTTCCTTTTTGGGATGGTCTAAAATAAACTTCACACTTCCTTATTTCCTTTTTTTGGCAAAGAAATCTACATCAAAACAGTGCCAAACAGTGTCAAACAGTGTCTCAACAGTGCCAAACAGTGTCTCTACAGTACCAAACAGTGCCTCAACAGTGTACTCTACAGTAAAGTCAAATTTCTTTCCTTATTTTGTGTGAAGTCAAACTGTGAAGATTAAAAAAAACCGGAGGTAGTATTTGATGGATTATATGGACTCCGACCCCCCCAGTATGCCGACTACTAGGCCTGGACAGCGGCCCACACACGTTTAGCGGATATCATTAATATTATTGTACATTATTATTATTATTATTATTATTATTATTATTATTATTATTCAGATGTTCTAGATTAACTTTTTATACTATCAGTCCATTTATGTAACCGGGTCTGTCAGGCCCATATTAGAGGCCCAGACCCGGATTTTCTCTATATATACTACTCCTTATAGGAGGCTTGTAACTCATACAACCAATATTCATTCACAATATACAATTTCTTCATTTTCTTCTCCTACATTCTTGCTCAAACTCTCTTTAGTATAGATTATGGGTATCAATTATCCAACAATGGTGCTCTCGTTGAGAGGTTGAACACAATCAAGTGAGAAAACCTCCCCAAATAACCAAAAATCATTCCAATCACAACAAAACCAGCCATAAACTGTTCTGGAAATTGCAAAAAAAAGAACGACGAGATGAATCTGCCACTTCAGACCGGAGAGGTCCCAGCTCTGACCGGAGAATGGTCATCGTCCAAGCCATCGCCTACCGCCGCACCTGGCCTAGGAACAAACGCGGAGGTCGCCGTCAAGATCTCACGTGCCCTGCTTCAGGACACGTCACTGCTCCGGATCTGATTCTCCAAGGATGGTCTGTCATCAATGGCCGCCTGGGATCACCTAGAAGAGATGAACGATCCCGCGTCCAGTTTCTCCACCTTCGCCACAGTGACAATAGACGCTTGAAGTTTGCTTCTCCGCCCATTCCTCCACCTCAGTCCCAGCGCCGCCCAGCTCCTGGCTGCTCCGCCGCGTCTCCGGTCGCCATCGCAGATCGAAGGTTGGAGCCAGGTCCAGGACTGGCATCTTCATGGTCACCTCGGTTGCTGGAGCTCGGCCTCAAACATCTTCCATTAATGGCCACAACGAGCTCCCGGTGCAAAGCCTCCAGTCCAAATCTCGCCGGAGGCAGGTCAACGTGGCACGAAACAGCTTCTGTTCCGGCGAGCCCTCTTCCACTCTCCGACGACGACGACCAAAGATATTACCAACAACGGTCCGAGCAGGCGACATTTGAGCACGAGGACCGGCAGTGCTCGATGATGGAAGGGGTCGGAGGCCACTTCCTTCTGACCGACGGCCACCATCTGCCTCTCTCGCCTCCATTTCCGGCGGCAGAAAAGGTGGGGCGCATCCTCAGACTGTCCTTGCCCTGCCGCGACCACAATTTCCACCGGCAGGAATTGACCCGCATGTGCGGACTGCATCTGGGTTGGTAGAAAGGCTCTTCATCTGCCTTTTCCAAAAGATTAGCTCCGCAGAAGTGCTTTGGTCTCAAGCTGACCACGTCGGCAAGATTGAAGCAAAGAAATGAAAGGCCAATTTCCTTTCAAGCTTAAACCGAGGGCAGCGTATTTTTTTTGACAGAATAATTGGGATCTTTGGCTCTTGCAAGGATGTGGGAAATTTTGACCAAGTCAAAATTGCAAAAAGGGAATCCAATCAATTTCAAAATTGATAGCAGTGGGTTACACTACATGTTATCCAACTGAGCTTTTGAACGGGCCCAATTTCAACATCAGCCCAATATTTTAGCCCAAGCAGTCCAATATTTCAGCCCACTTCAAAAAGATAAGTACTCTTTAATTTTCATATTATTTATTTTTATTTAAGTTAATTTTTTGTCGGGCGAGCATCACACTATCACGCACTTATGATCAAATACCTAGTAGAGTGTGGCTTGAGACCCATCACTAGGATTTAAAGCCCTGACTCCTTAGGCACAAAGCTCTGTCTCCTCAGGCACAAAGCCCCGACCAAGTCGGGCATGAAGACAAAACCCCGACCAAGTCGGGTACGAAGACCGGTCTTAGTCATTCCTCGAGTGGCGACCGTTGCTTACGAATGGCTCACACATCCATTCTACTAAGTATTTTATCATTACATTAACAATTCACATCTCCACTTGTTTCAAGTGACGAACTCCCGATCGGGAACATAAATCCCAAGAAATTTTTTTTATATGTATGATAAATGTGTAGGTACGAAGATGACTTTACTCATTTTCACCTCGTCTCCAGTCGCCTCAAAGAGTAGGGACTGGGGGACTGAGGGGTCAGAGTTTCTAGATGAGCAGAAAATATCACGCAAGAGCAGGAACGAGAGCTGAGTCAGTTGAAGAGGAGCTGAGCTAGATTGATTATGCCGGAGGGGATTTACCTTCCTTGTTTCATGTTGGGGGCGCTAGGTGTACTCTTTTTCCCTTTATTAGGATTTTTTCCCACTGGGTTTTTCCTAGTAAAGGTTTTTAACGAGGCACCTCCCCATAATGGACAAGGGTGGTGGTCCCCCGGCCGAAGAGGAAGAACATTGCAGATACAGTTTGGACTACTCCCTTTCGCCTCGAGTACTCTCGACTCAGGGAGTGGGGGACTCCTGATGGATTATATGGACTCCGACCCCCCCAGTATGCCGACTACTAGGCCTGGACAGCGGCCCACACACGTTTAGCGGATATCATTAATATTATTGTACATTATTATTATTATTATTATTATTATTATTATTATTATTATTATTATTATTATTATTCAGATGTTCTAGATTAACTTTTTATACTATCAGTCCATTTGTGTAACCGGGTCTGTCAGGTCCATATTAGAGGCCCAGACCCGGATTTTCCCTATATATACTCCTTATAGGAGGCTTGTAACTCATACCACCAATATTCATTCACAATATACAATTTCTTCATTTTCTTCTCCTACATTCTTGCTCAAACTCTCTTTAGTATAGATTATGGGTATCAATTATCCAGCAGTATTAAAGAGTGTAACAACTTTATATTGTGTTGGACACTTGGAGGGAGTATCTTATTTGAATTTAGTATTGTATCTTTTGCCTTCACACAATTTTAGGTTAGCTAAGAGAAGAATAACAAAAATTTTACTTTATAGGTACTTGGATCAATTAGGAATGACATCAACCTTCAACCACAAGGTGTACTGCAGACAAGCTTTGATTGGTGGAAACTATGCTCTGCTGAACACAACAACTTTCATCCCAAATCCAGATTACTATGGTGCCCTCTTGTGGAATCGCTTGATGGGCAAGAAAGTATTGGCTGTATCCCACAATAGCTCTCCTTATCTCCGAGCTTACACTCATTGTTCTAGACATGGAGTAAGATTTCCAGTTCTTTTCTCTTAATGTTAAAATTATCCTACATTATTAAATGTTACTATTAAAAAATAGATTTCCCCTCATAATAATAATCTCAAACCAAGCAATGTTATATGGAGTATTAGACTAAACTTAAATTGATTAGACCGGACTATGTCAGACCAGAACTAGATAATAATAGAATAAATAATATCATACGTTAATTAATCTCAAACCAAACAATATTATTTGTTGACTTGCTGAGGTTCACTTGGTATTGTGTTTTCTGTTGAAAAAGGCTTTTATATGTCCGAAGTCGTAACACCACTTGAAGCAAAGTGTAGTTTGGACAAAAGATGACTTTTTGAAATAAGGTCAATCGTTGATATGAAAGGCTAAAAGTCACCATAATGCAAATGTAAGTTGATAGTGGTTTTTAAAATACGATACAACGGAGGTTTATGAGACCATATTAGCTCATATTTAAAAATCCAGTGTTCAGAACAGACTAGAAAATTTTAGTCCAATTAAAAACATCACAAAATACCGATAAATTACTCTGTATTTACCAATATTAAATAATTTGGATTGAGTGATGTGTATGTAGTGGTTCATTTAAGCGTTTGTTTGTTTGTTACAGAGCGGAGTAGCTATACTATTGATAAATTTGTCGAACTCCACAACCTTTGAGGTCTTCCCCAGAAATGATATGAATTTGTACCCTGGAAATGACATGAATCCTGGGACTCCTCAAAGTCTTCAAAGTACTGACAATATGCCTGAGAGGGAAGAATACCATCTGACCCCAGAAGGAGGGAACATCCAGACTGATGCTGTTCTACTAAATGGAACTCCATTGAAGCTCACCAAAGACTATGATATTCCCACTTTGAACCCAAAATTGGTTGACTCTACCTTACCCATCACTGTTCAACCTGATTCCATTGTCTTTGCCACCCTTAAAGGCTTTAAAGCCCCTGCTTGTGCTTAGAAAGTATCATTTCTGTTATTTTGCTTAGCTTAGGTTTTATTTGTTTCTCAGTAGCTTGAACCATAAACCATTAGCATTTGTTTACATTTTTCTATTGCTTAATTTTGTTAATTAGTCAATGGAATGAAGAAACATTTTAGTATCAGTTCACTTCATTTAATTAGGGATGGACCCGGGCCGGGCCGGTTCAGGCCTGGGCCCGGCCGGGCTTTTTTTTGGGGAAGGAAGAACCGGAACTGGCCCGGGTAGGCAGCGGTTCCGGGCCGGGCCGGTTCACTTCTTAATTTTTTTAATTTTCTTTTGCTTTTCTAATCAACCCCCCCCCCCCTCATCCCCTCACCCCAAACCCCCCAAAACACTCAGCCCAACCCGGGAGAAACGAAAAGGATTGGGAAAAAAGGGGCCCGAACCGGGCCCGGAACCGCTTAACCCCTCGGGCCTAGGCCCGAAACGGAACCGGTTTCCCGGGCCGGGCCGGTTCCGGGGCCGTGCGGGCCGAACCGAGTCCATCCCTACTTTTAATCATAGATTTAAAAAAATCACTGGTTATTGCCTAGTTTCATTCTCAATTCTGAATTCAAAAAGTTCACCTTCAGATATCGTCATATCAGGAACTTTTTTTTGGGTTCGTTTGCTTGCAAAAAGATACAAGATTGATACGTTGTAATGTTGTATAAATCATTTTCTTGAAAATTTAACCTTTTCTTTTTAGTACGGAGAATAAATATACTCCGTGATTGCTTTCCATTTTTCAATATTTTACCTGTTAAATATTTTACAAGAGGCCACGATAATATTCTCATTTCAGTCATATTTTATCCAGAAACTCTACTTTAGAATATTATAGAAAAACCACCATAGATATGTCACGTGAGTGGGTGCAGTTGTGTATTTAGACAGGAAAAAAAAGTAAAATATGTCTAAATACAAGAAAATCCAGAAAATATATTTATGCTAATCAAAGGGGGCCTAAGGCTCCAAAATAGAGCTCAGGCATGGATTCCCTTCAATCAGAGACACCTATGTATACCACCATCCTTTATACAAAAAGATCAACTAAAGACTGGGTGACTATAAAGTATATTACAGAGTTTTATTGGAGTCTGACTGGACACAGGAAAAAAACTTCACAAGATAGATGACACTGTGACAGGAACATACACTCAGTTGCTTATCTCTCTCACCAGCCAATCCAGAGTTGGGTATGCAAAATACATCACCAAGGCAGCGGGGAGAGCAAAGATGATTGTGATAGCAAAGTACAGCATAAGAACGACAACGCTGCACGGAATGGCAAAGATAACCATAAAAACAAGCACCACCACCAATGGGAACCTCGATGTGAAACGAATGAAGAAGTCAATGGATTTGTGAAGAGAAAATTGTGGTCGTCTCCTGTAAGCACCCCTAGCACCGCGTACGCCTCCGCCATTGTTCCTGACTAAGCGGTTTATGTCACCACCACCAACAACAAATGAAGAATTGGCATTCGAGATGGTGGTGGAGTTCACGCGCAAAGGGGTCCACACATTCCGGTGATTTGTGCATTTGTGGGACCCAAAGCGGTCACCGTTCCTGCTCTCCACCATCCAAAGGAGGAAGTAGTTCTTGTTAGGGGCTTTAAGGATACCATGGAAAACGAGTCGAAGGGTCAACAAGTTGCACCAAGGGCAGGAGATGAAGAACGGGATTTGGATTTGTTGGGTTGTGGAGATCTTCAGAGCAGCCCGTTTTAGTCCCAATAGGCAATTCTTGCATATGGTGTGTCCACACCATAAGACATAGGGAACATTCTCGACAATGTTGAAAGATTCACAACATATTGGGCATTCTAAGACTTCATCGATGCTATCATTGGAGCACATGTCATCGTCGTCGGAGAATTCATTAGAGGCAGCGCTTGGCTCAACCGTGCTCTTCTTCCTACCAAAGCTTGTGATGGCATTCCAAATGGATCTCCACATTTTGAAAGACAACTAACCAAACACTGATTCAGTTCTCAAACATCTCCAAATCCTTTGCAAACCTGAAACTTAAAAGTGAGATTGGATAGTCAACCTATATAACATTTGCCGCAATATTTACTATTAACTAGAGAAACTAAGATCCTGTTTGAAGGGGACTTGGCTAAAATGGCTGAATTTTCCAAGAGAAGAGTTTGGTAGCATCTATTTAAGCTAAATAAGTATGTCAAAAGCTACTAATACAGCTTATAATCAAAATAAGCACAAAATGTCTGAAGTGATTACCAAATGATGCCAGAAACTTCAGCTCAAATTTGGAAAATAATGCAGTAAGAAAGTTACTAAATTACATTTCAAGACATTCATAAAGCACCAGTCTAAATTTTAAACTGGGAAGAACTTTTGTTAGCAAGCTTGGCTGGGCCAGGACGCTAAGCCTTTACTCTGTCGGGTTTGTATTGAATGAAACCACTTGTGACAAATGGTGTACATTGGTGTTATGATGGACCTAATATAAGTCCTCCCCAGCTCCACCAAAAACTATCAAAATAAGTTAGATCACGAAGCATCTCTTTAAAAATCAAAGATTCAATCTTTCTTTAATCTACAATAAAAGAATGCATAAGTCTACAAAAGTTCATAGGGTTCACTCTTTAAACAAAAGTTGAAGTTCAGGGATTACATTATTTAAAAGTATCCAGCTTTAAGATATTTTATTATTTTCTAACTGCATATGTCAGCTTTAATTTGTTGGCAGAAGGTAACAAACAACTCTATGACATACCAGATTAGTAATGGTCAGGAATACAAGCCCTCCAACAAGAATCAGGTGTGGAGCAGATGGGCCCTCAGGTTTGGGATGAAAAATCTTTGTAAGCATGGAGGTGGTATAAAAATCTCATAAAAGTTTTAAACTTTCAATGATACAAACGTTCAAATGCTTTAAAGACTAAAAAAAATTACATCAAGAAAGCATATCTGCAGATATCAAAGATTCAACCTTTAATACGTCAGCTTAAATCATTTATCTACAAAACCAGCATTCAGATTGTTCTGTCTCTATAAGTTGATACCAGATGCAGATACATAATGCAAGCAGCAAGTTTTGGCATATCAGTGATGCAAAAGAGTTCAGATTAGATGCCCACTTCTCTAAATAATCTCTTCAAACAGGGGGATTGAAATAAAAGGCAAAAAAACATGCTCGATTATACATTGGATTGCATAAATTTTTAAACTTTTTGGCGAAGTGAAGAACTTACTTTGATTTCTCGAAGAATCAACAGAGAAATGAGAGAAATCAAGAGAGATGAAAATTTCTTGCGGTGCTCTCTCTCAGCGTCTCTGGCCTCGAGGACAACGAGCCAAGGTTGGAAGAAGCCACATTGCATCTCTCGAAAGTATTAGGACGTTCGTGAAATATTTTATTAGAAAAATATTCATGCCATATCCAATTTTAGAAAATTAATTAATTAATTTCTTGTTTTAATTTCTTTTATATACAGAGTAATTTTTTTACACTACATCATACTCATGATTATAGCTTACTAGATAGTTAGGATTATTCTTATCAATTTTTCATTACTTTTACTTCTAATCATGGCTTATTAAAAATAGCAAAGTTTCTTCTTGTAGGAGTCATG